AGAAATGACACCACAGTGTGTTTTAAATGTCAAACTACACCACATCCACATCAGAGCTCAAAGCAGGGCAGTCAGTGAGCATTTCATTTTCTCACAGCACACAGCCATGACCAGAGCTTTGGAAAGCCAGCAGCCACACAGCAGTCCCTGTGAGCCATCAAAGAAGCCACAGGACTGTATTATTAAGACAGAAGTAGCAGATGAGACACTGGGAGATCATTACCCAGCTATAACATAATGATCTTAAGTAGGAGAATTGGAATTTTTAAAAGCAGCTTTGATTAGGTATTTTATACTTGAAGGAGGTTCAGAATTACTCTGCTGAACATACAAATGGAGAAAAAGGAGAAAATTACAAGTTTAGGCTCTCCACTTTTCACTCTTTAATCCATATCACACTTTCACATGCCTTCTCCTCCCAATCAACTCTTCATATGCTGTTTCAGAGGGAAATTATTCCGTCATTTAAAGCCAAAGGTTTTAAAAGGTCCCAGCAAGTGACCATCCCCTCTGCCTTCATCACCTTACTGATGCCAGTTCTCCACGAACCCAGCATTTCTTCATTTCACACACACAGCCCCAGCATCCACATTTTTACATGTTTTCTGGCACAGCTATAGCAGAAAAGCCTTCTAATGCAAGTTAAATTTATACAGGAAAGTGTAGTTCTGATTTTATGTGACCCACCTGGCAAGGTCAGCAAGTAAAATAAAGTGTAACAGCTAAAAAGGTTCTTACTCCCTCTGCTGTGAACAAGAACATCCCAGAGCAGCATTCAGGCTTCCTTACCTGCAGAACAGGCATCTTCACTTCCCTCCCCCTGACATTTCAACCCAGAAGACCTCTCATTTTTCAGTCTTCACCTGGACTTACAGGAATTCCTATACCTGGACTCATGTGGGAATTCCTGCCTTCATGAGGTTTCTCACATCCTGCAACTGCCATCCTTCAGCCACGAGCCTCCAAACAGGGAATGGGACAGAACAGAGAACACCTGGCCTTGCCCTCTCCCTCCCTTAAATAGTCCCTGGGGGTTGTGTTTCAACTCCTTAAAAGCTCAATTAAAGGCCAGATGCAGGGCCATCTTAAGAAATGACAAATTCTTATTCCATCACAAACAGAAATTATCCACAGCAAGGATCAAGTTTTGGTTTGTTTTCAGTTGGCTGGAGGTGTTCAGATTCTTGTTAATGAACTACAGAACATTTCCCTCCAACCACTGCACCAAACCTGTAGTTACAGGGGCAGCAGGTTTGGAAACTTGCTGCCTACGTCCTAGGGATATAAATCCATGATGTACAGTGGCTGTCAGGAAACACAGATGTGCCCAATTAAGCATCCTCTCAATACATCTACAGAGAGCAAGACAAAGACTTACAAACTCTGGTTCAGTGCTGCTTTTGCAATTCAGACCATGAAAAAACCACTCCAGCCGATGTTTGAGATGAGTGTTGGAAACATCCAGGCTGCACCTGCAGAAGTGCTTTAGCAGGAGCATCTGTGTTTCGGGTCAGCTGCTGCTGGAGTGGATTTGCAGGTGATGTCTCTGCTATGAGGTGGTCTGTCAGGAGAGCACAGATCTTCCTGAGAGCACAGGGACCGCCGATGGCGATGGCACTGCAGATCAAACACAGAATGACTCTGCTTGAGGATCTGCTCCAGTAATGAGGAGAGCAGATCTTCCCAAGGCACACCGAGTGTTAAACAGGCTTGTTTAACTCTAAACTGGAGTGCCAGACAACCCCTCCCTTCATGTCCACCTCTAACAACTACCCAGGTGAAAGAAAAATCAGCAGTATCACAGCTTTCCAAGCAAGAAAATACAGACCTTTATCAAATAAATAGTCTGTGGTCTGCATGGCTGTGTGAAATGCACCAAGCAGGAGCTCTTGCTGTGACTGCCCATACTGTAGATGATTTACAGTGTCCCAGGTCATCGGGGCTGGATGGAGTTCAAAAGCAGCAGCCAGTGGGGGTCCCTGGCCCTTCAAACATGAACAACAGCCCATCCCACCCAGGGAAGATGGATTGCCTCCAGCCCACCCAGCTGAGGTTCCCATCAGTCAGTGGGAGCCCAGGGAGGACAGAAGGAATGTGAAGCTCAGAGCTCCACAGCCACAGGTGCTGCTGGGGACAGGATGGCACAGGCAGGGACAGGAGGCAGCCGTGGCCCAATCCTCTTCCCATACATTCCTCTGAGGTACTGCTTGGTTTCCCAGCGTGTGGCATTCCCTGGGCTGTGCACACAGCGGGGATGACTGTCCCCAAATCAATATTTGCATAAATACATCAGCAGCTCCAAACACTGACCGTGATCCCAGAGTCGATCGCTGCTTTGCTGGGAGCTTGTCCAGCTCATTCTAATGGAACTGAAGTGTCTGACTACAGCCTGGAGCCACAGGAGAGTTGTACCTAAGTGTGTTATTCTGAAAATTCCCAACAAGGCACTTTTGGAGGGTCATGTCATCCTTTTCAAGGCATCCAGCAACCCACGGAGGCCCTGAAAGAATTCGGTCAGCGAGAAGCTGTGAAGGAAAAGAAAAACATGAAAACATTTTGCAAAGGGCCTTTAAGGAGAACTGGCACAACACAGAGAAGAGAGAGCATGAGGAGGGATAACTGGAGGCAGAGTGGGAATGCTGTGCAGCAGGAACAGAGGCACCTGCAGTGCTGATCTGGGAAAGAGCTGGAGCAGTCTGACAAGGGACCAGTGTGATGTGGGAGGGAACAGGCAATGTCTGCAATGGAAGAACAAATTAAAAAGCAAAATTCATCCAACAAAACCCAGGTACATTATTCAGGTACCTAATTCAGATTAGCACTGTGTAAAAAACACATCAGGGTGGTGTTCTCCAAAGCTGTGTTCTGCTCCATTAATGACATTTCTATTGATCACTCTAAATAAAGGGATCATCCTCTATTTCCTTCAAGATTCCAGCTCTGTGGCTCAGCCCCACCACAATTTGCTTGAAGGAAACTGGTAACATGTCTGAAGATCCAGAGCCTCCCACAACAGCCCCTGATGGGCACAAACCACATCCAGATCCCCTGTGCTGTGCTGCTGCTGCCCCAGGAGTACCAGCATCATTATTAATACCAGAATAATGAACAGGACTGCCCATTAGAGATGCAGAATCCCTTCCCTCCTGGCTGGGACAAAACCAGGTTATACCACAGAAAGGTACATTAGAAACTGATCTGCTGAAAAATGAACTGAAATTGTGGCCCAGTTTTGGGATGCACACTTTGCTGTGCAGATCCACTTCACAAGCACTTCCCTCACTCAGCTTTCCTCTTCACAGCACTTCTGAGCTCACCCTCAGTCACACTTTCTTGCCAAAATATAGTTCCACTTAACAAAAAGCTCCCTTCATTCTCTGCACTTAAAACATTGGCAAGGTCCATTGTATATCTAAAATATTTTTTTTATTTTAATGCAGATTTTCAGGTACGTGTTTTTGTAAAACATTCTCAGAAGAAACTTGAGTCCCATTTCTACCACAAATTCTGGAGCCTGGTACAAATCATTAAAAAATGTCTTTTACCTCATTTTCACACCCACAAAAGCACAGCATTAGAATGTGTCACTCCAGAAGCCTTTCCAGTAGAAAAAAGCTTATGAAAGCACCTGATGCTTTGCCTTTCAGACTGTAACCAGGATGGAGAAAATGCTCCTAAGGATTGACCTGCTCACCCTCTCTATCACTCAGGGGAACAAAACTGAGTGAGCTTCCTGTTCTCAGAGTAGCACCCAAAAATGCCCCCTTGGAATTTAGTGCAGGGCTCAGTTGAGGTGGTGGTGTTTTCCTGAGACCCACAGTGCCAGCTGCACAAGCAGGTCGGTGTTTCTTGGCACAAGCTCCCATGCTGGATCAAAGTGAGATGATCCATGTTTCACAGAGACAACTCCTGAGACGATAACAAACATCAGCCAGCGAAATCCACGAGTAAAGTTCTAGCTGGCTTACACAGAACATCCCAGTCCTGCCAACTTCCTGAACTCCCACAGCTTGCCTTTGATTTTGTATCTGTCTGAATAGTTTTAGAACCTTTATAAGATATATTTGAGGCTTTATCTTATCTTTGGAGTTTTATCTTACCATTACATCCCAAGTCGAACAGATTTGGTTTGCCCTACCATGACCCATTTCAGCAGGAGCATGCCGTCAGTGGAGGCTGTTCCAGACACCGTTCAGCCGGACAGGAGCTGAGGTACTGACAGTCTGCAAGGGGAGAGAAACTGTCTCTGCAAAAGCGAACTGAAGGTGTCATCGGCTGCTTTTTGGAGGGGCCACGCACGAGGTTCCCCCGACGGCAAAGGCTCGTTGCCCAGGAGGGCTGGCGGGGCTGCGGGGAGCCCGGGAGGGCTGCGGGGGGCCCGGCAGAGCCCCCGGGAGGAGGAGGCGCTGGGATCTTTGTCCCTTGCCCGCAGCAGCCGCGCTCCCAGGATGGGTGTTTCATTGCCAGGTGCCGCCCGGCCTGGGGGGGGACGGAGGGCCGGTCCTGGTGCCGGGGAAGCGCCGCGGGGTTGGGCGGGGGCTGCGAGGGGAGTTAATTTTGGTTGGAACAGTTCCTGGCAGGGAAGGAGCTGACGTGTGGAGACGCCTCCCGGGATGAGCCGCCGGCGGAGCGGGGAACGCTCGGCACGGCACGGCCCGGACCGGCTGGGACGCACCGCGGGCACCCGCTGCAGCTCCTGCAAATCCCCGCGGAATTCCAGCTTTCCCTGCGGAATTCCGGCTTTCCCTGTGAGCGGCAACTACCGGCACATCGCGCCGGACGGGGACATCGTGGGGCAGCTGTCAAATGACAACGCTTTGGGTCGTGACATCGCCGAGGGGAAACCCGAGAGTTTGGGGGCTGCTTCGTGGGACGTTTTTAATTTCAAGTTAAAAATTGCTCTCGGGCTGTCGCTATAAATGCCTGTGTGTTCCGTTCCCCCTGCAGGAACCGTGCGCCCGCCGCTGCTGTTGGGGATGACGCCGTAGGATCCCCGCATGATGGAAGCCCCGCGCAGGGGACGGGCCCGCTGGCTGGGGACCCTCCTGGCCGCCTGCCTGGCCACCCTGCCGGTCATCAGCGCCTGTCCCCGGCCCTGCGCCTGCCACGGCCCCGCCGAGCTCCACTGCACCTTCCGCTACTTCAGCACCGTGCCCCCGCGCATCCCCCCGGACGTGCAGCGCATCAATCTGGGGTACGTGGGACAGCGGGGCTTTTCACGGTCTGACCAGTCAGCTTTCAGCACTTTGCGGAGCGATAATTAAGAGTTTCCAGATTTAGAGCTAAAAATTACCAAAGCAGTAAATAAGTCTGTAGAGCTTAATGTTGTGTCTGCAGCGCTCAGCAGTGGCTGCAGTCACAGCTAGCAAAGCCTGAGACCACCCACACTAAGTGGAAGTTCGGGGGATCTAGCACAGGGGAGGTGAGAACTTCGGAAAGTTTTCAACTTAAATGAATTCCTTTGTATTACCTGAAAAAATTGCATCTGCAATGTGGAACTGAGGAGTCTGAAACAGCAGCAATTCGGTGAAGATGAGTACGTGTGCTAAAATCTTCAGAGACTTTGCTGTGAGTTGAGAACGTCCCACAGTGTTAGTGTCCATGCTTTCACCTCCTGGGTCCATGGAAAGTCACACCATGTCAGCCTCCCCGGTGGTTCTGTCCTGTGCATGGTTAAAGGAGCAGGGAGTGGAACGTGCCCAGGCTCATCCGGCCTCTTCATGCATTTTCCAGCAAGTGTCCTCTGTCATAAATCAAACAACAAGACCCATCAGCAATATTTGACTGGTCCGGGCATCCCTCTTAATACACATAACATTTGAATCATCCAGATGTGTCCCCTGAAAATATAAAAGCAGTTTTTCCTGGAGGTAGTAGGGAAGCCAGCACACTGTCAGACAAACAGATGTGTTTCGTGCTTGCCCTTACTCTCCCCATCCATGGGAATTCCCAAAGGGAATTCACCCTTGTGCTAACGTGACAGAATGACTTAGAATTTCATCTTGGCAAGTAGAAGTGCTGCCTGCCTTTAGCCATTGCCAAAGAGTGGTTCTTTTCTTTCGGGTGGGTTGCTTTTAAAAGGTGTGAAGTGTAGCTGACTAAACCCATCTGTTACAGCTACAACAGCCTGAGAAAACTGAGCCCCACAGACTTTGCTGGCCTGGAGAAACTGGAGTTACTGATGCTGCACAGCAATGAGATCAGCATGATCCCTGAGAGGGTGTTCAGTGATTTACGTTCACTACAGGTGAGAACTAAATGAGCCAGTGTTCAATTTTGTTATGACTTAACCTTCAGATGTAGAGGTAAACATCCCCTAAGTAGCCAGATGCAGCATTTCCTTTTTTAGTTCCTTATTTGTCCATATGAAAGTTGAGGGCCTTCAAGATCCAGTATCCTAATGAGAAAGGTCTTTCCTACCCAGGTGGACACTCAGGTACATTGTAAAGATCAGTAGCATTTGTTAGAGTTCTTACAATTATAACATGGTTTAGTATTATGCGTTTTTTACTTTTTCATCAACAGGTCTTAAAAATGAGTTACAACAAGGTCAGGGTGCTTCAGCAGGGTGTGTTTTATGGCCTGAAGAGCTTGGTACGGCTGCATATGGACCACAATCAAATTGAATTTGTAAATCCCAATGTTTTCTATGGACTCACTTCCCTGAGATTGGTCCACCTGGATGGAAATTTACTCCAGCAGTTGCATCCAGACACTTTTGTCACCTTCCACTATAGCCAGATATTCAAAATATCCTTCCTGAAGCACATCTCTTTGTCTGACAATATGCTGACTTCACTTCCACAAGAAATGTTTTCCTACATGTCCGAGCTTGAGAGCATTTACCTGCATGGAAACCCCTGGTCCTGTGATTGCAGCCTGCAGGAGTTCACAGTGTGGGCACAGGAGAGACCAGGTGAGCTCAAGGCCTTGTTCGTGCTCCTTAATCCTGTTGTAGTCTCTTTTTCTTTCTGAAACAAGTAATTGCCTTTTATTAATTTATTTATGCTACCAGAAAAGACTGTAAGACAGTATTTTAGTAGGTGTTTGTAATCAGGATAAAGAGATAAATATCACTCAGCTTTCCAGATTAAATGTATCTAGTGGCCTTAACACATTCCCAAGTGCAGCTTTCCTTAATGGAATGATTTCCTTGGACAGTCCAAAGACTCTGTGCACCAGGAGAATCCACAGGGAATAATCAAGATAACTTTTATGGAACTGGCAAGAGTAAGTGCCACTTTGCTCTTAATTCTTCAAGAAGGAGATAAGGGACTCAAGGGACTCAAAGACTCTCTCTGATGCTGTCTTTCATATGTTACTTTAAGATTTGCTTTTGTTTCACTCAAAAGAACCACTTGTTAGTACCTACATGTAATTTTTAATACTAAAACTTGTAGCACAGAAACTGACTCCAGTTTTCTTCTCTTCAGATGTTATAAAGTGTAGAAAAGACAGAAGTTCTGGTGCCCAGCAATGCCCAGTCTGTGCTAGTCCCAGAAATCATAATGGGAAAAGCTTAACGGATCTTCCTTCTGCATCTGTCACCTGCAATAAGCCAGTCATAGACAACTCCCTGAAATCCAGAAACCTCTCAGTGCCAGACGATGGGGATTTCAGTTCTGTGTCTCCCAAGGACTTCATAGCTCCAATAGGATCCCTGGCTTTGAACATATCTGACCAAGCAGGAAATCGAGGCAGCGTGGTTTGCAACGTCCAAAAACCTAAAGAAATGTCTCCCATCTCATTTTCCCGAGATGGCAGCAGCACAGTGCTCCAAACCTCCTTCTCAGCTGTCCTGGTGTGTGGCATCAGTCATGGGCACATCCAGCAGCTGTGGAGCATCCTGGCACTGTACAGCAATTCTCCCTTGAAACTGGAGCAGACTGTCCGGGCGGCTGATGTGCCTTTTGTTGGTTACAAATATAAACAGATCCACACTGAAAAAGATGAACTTTTCACCAATATTGAGGCTGACCTGAGGGCTGACCCAGCCTGGCTGATGCAGAGCACAGTGGCACTGCAGCTGGACAGGACAGCGACCACGCTCAGCACGCTGCACATCCGCTACTTCAGCCGTGCCCAGGTCAGTGTGCCCAGCACTGACAGCAACCAGGGCAGCACTAACTGGGCCATCATCCACAGGGACAACAGCACCCAGAGGGAGCACACTGTGCTAGTCGGGGGCACCGTGGAACTGGGGTGCCAGGCAGCTGGGGAGCCAGCTCCTGCTGTGGAGTGGATATTGGCCGATGGGAGCAAAGTGCGAGCTCCTCACATCAGCGAGGACGGGAGAATCATCGTCCTCAGAGCTGGAACGCTGACCTTGCGGGCGGCTGACGTGTTTGACACGGGGCTCTACCACTGCATCGGCTCCAACAGCGACGATGCCGACGCTCTGACGTTCAGAATCACCGTGGTGGATCCTCACGTGGAACACAGCAGTGTAAACGGAGCCCAGCTGCTGACAGCTGTTGGCAGCACCCTCCACCTGCCCTGCACAGCCACGGCTGCTCCGGACGCTGCCATTGCCTGGGTGCTGCCTGAGCTCACAATCCTTCGTCAGTCTGCAGGAAACAAACATGTTTTTGGCAATGGCACCTTGAGAATACAAGGGGTGACAGAGCGAGACGGAGGGTACTTCCGATGCATTGCAGCCAACCCGTACGGTGTTGACCTTCTGGTTTTCCAGGTGCTAGTGAAACAGGATGAGACCGCTCCAAAGAAAAGGCTTGGAGCTGTGGCAGAGTGGGAAGGGGGTGACGGCTCTGGCAATGCACTGCTGGGCTCTGCTGAAGCACAGACACCTCCCTCAGCCACTCCAACCACCCTGACAGCTCCTCTGAAATCGGCTGCATCAGCGTCCAGCAGCCAGGGCACGCAGAGCGCACGCCAAAGGAACAGCCACGGGAAGATGCCTCGCAGGCCCTCCAGGGACAGAACAGGCAGGCTCAGGCGGCTCAGGGGGCACAGGAGACAGTTTATTTCCTCAGGCAGAAGAGTCGATCCACAGCGCTGGGCAGCCTTGCTGGAGAAAACCAAGAGAAACTCAACACTGACAGACAAACGAGGAGGAGTTCCAACAGAACCACCCATTCAGGTCCAAAAGTTCTCAGAGGTACCTGAGGATGAGGAAACATCTGGTGATCTGGGATCTCCAGAAGAGGAATTCATGATGCCAGTAGCAGAGAGAGCCCCAGTACCTGCTCTGGGGAGACCAGTGGAACATGTGATCGCTGCAGGGCCCGAGGGCACCGTGAGTCACAATCCTGCCAGGAAAACCTCCCTCCCGGTCACAGAGGCAGTAACTCCTCTGCCCTCTCCTCTTCCACAGTCTGTGTCACCTGGCAGCACAAGGCCACAAACATATCCAAAACCTACAGACTCATGGGAAAGATCTGACTTGAGTCAAATATCAGCAAATGGTGTGAAACAATCAACTGGAGCAAGTGGAGCAAGTGGAACATCCACACTCTTCCCTGCTGGGCAAAGGCTGGTGTATTCTGGGCAGCGTAATAAACAGCATCTAAAATCTGCACCCACGACACCCACGACAGAAGCTACAGACACCAGTAAGGCTGTACCTCCCCAAAACACAGCTGACAAGACACAGGTTTTTACTGAGTCTATCAGTAAAGTTTCCACCAAAACAGATCCCCAGGTCCCTGTGGTGACAGTCAGTGCACCGAGCCCTGAGTTTGGCTCCGTTTATTCTCATACTGCTCAGAAAGGAGGAACCTCTAAGCCACCACTGACCTCAACTATCACTACTCATCAGCAAATTCGGGTTATCCAGGACATTCCAACTCACACACCCCAGCTCCAGCAGCAGTATGGAAGACGAAGGAAAGTTTCTGGTCGGAGACGAATTGTGAGGCCAGGACATATCCCAGGTATGAAAGAGCACCGATACAATTTTGGGAGGGCAGGGTCTGCCAGAGGAAATACAGCTGTGGCTGCAGGTGTTCAACTGAATATGAATTATGTATCAAATGTAACAACTTTAAATAATTTAAGCAGCTCCATCAATTCATTTAGCCCAGAAGCCCCCCTGTCCTCCCCCTCCACCATGAATTTGCCGTTGGAGCCAGTGGTTACCCATCAAAACACATTGTTCCTCAAGGAAGAGGAGAACGAACACAGTGCAAAGCAAAAAGCTGCTGCCACAGTCGTGTCTGTCACTACAAAGGGCACTGCTACTACTTGCAACCCTACCAGACTGTTGGGTTTGAAGTCAGCAGTCTCATCTGTTATTACTCCTCAATCTGACACCAGAATCACCAAAAGCAAAATATTCAGAGTGGGAGGAAGAAGAGGTCAGAGGAGGAAGAAGCCTCCTAAAGTATCTGCAGCCCACAGCACTGCAGCCACCTCCTCCGTGAGCACAACCACCCCCGAGCTGACAGCAGGTACATCACCAGCTGTGCCTCCGAGTCTTACACCTGCAAAACCTCTCCCTGGGAGCATCAGCCCGGTCTCTGTGACCAAAACACCAGCACTGTGGAGCTCTGACACCCCAGAGCCACCTCAGCATATGTCCACAGCAGCCACACAGACACTGGTGGCCCTGGTCACACAGAGGAATGCCCAGCTGGCCACGTCACTGCCCACTAGCCTGGCTGCTCACAGCCCCACCATGGCACTCCAAACCACACCAGTCACAACAAGGAACACCCAGCTGACCACAGCACCACCTGTCAGTCCTGCCCAGACCTCCACCACAGCTCTCCAAATCCCGCCGTGGCTGGGTGAGCCTCCCGGTGCTGCACGTGCCCAACCTGCTGCAGTCAGCGCCACATCAGGGGCAGCGCCTGCTCAGCACATCAGAGCCACTGCCACGGCAGGAAGAGAATCCTACCTGAAAATGGGGGAGACAGTTGTGCAGGAAAACCAGGCAGCACAGTCCACATTCCCAGCAAGAACTGTGTCAAGGGCTCCTGCTGCACTCCCAGACATCAGCATTCCCAGCACTCAGCATCCCACCCCTCAGCCAGCCCCGACGGCAGCTGTGCCACTTGCACCTACTGTGAGAGCCCACCTGCCTCCACGGGAGGATGTCCAGTTCTGGCCCCAGCCACCTACCAAAGGCACGGAGAGGGACAACACGCTGACTGTCAGGACACCGACCACTCCAAAGTCCTCACAGACTGCAGCTCCGCGGGGAAGGGACAGGGACAGCTCTGTCAGAGGCTGGTCTGAATGGAGACAAGATCAAGAAACCACCACCACCCCCAGTCCCTTCGCCTTGGGCTCTGCAAGCAAAAACCATTTTGCAAAGCCCAGAATAGCTGGAGGGAAATTGGCTGCTTTCACTGTGCTGGCAAATTCTGATGCTTTTATTCCTTGTGAAGCTACTGGGAACCCCCGTCCAACAATACAGTGGACCAAGATCCCATCAGGTAAGCTTGATAAACCTCTCTAGAGTTTACATTCTGTTAGAGTCCTGTAATTTGACAGCTGCTCTGAATGCCAAACTCAAACATTGCTTCATTTTAAAGCACTATAAAATACCAGTGAATAGTGAACTTGGAAACAGTGACAGAGATCCAACACTTGCTGAAGTGTCTGAGTGCTGACTCTGGAATAGCTCTCTAGGGAAAGCATAAAAAAAAAAAATCTATATTTAACTAGAATGCTATGCTTATTGTGATAAGATTTCAATATTTGTTTTGTGTTACTTGCTATTCCAGAACAGTGAGACAAGTGAAAAGAAAAATCTGTGGTAACAAACCCTCAAATCCAGTTACAGCTGTGCCGGGTTTGGACTGCAAAGGCCCATCTGCTTTATCCAAACTTTGTCTCTGCTGGGGACTCAGCTTTGTCGCTCTATATGTAAAATACTCTGATTTTCTCTCTGTCTCATCACTGTCGCCTCGGTTCTTTGGGCGATGCACAGCACGGCAGGGGACAGGTATTCAGGGACTGAATTAAACCAGCAGATTAAAGCAGAGGAAGGTTCTGACGTGCTGTCCCCTTGTTCCGCAGGGGCTCAGGCTGCGGGGCGCGGCGGTGCCGGCAGGTGGGTGGTGTTTGCCAACGGGACGCTGTCCATGGCCCAGGTGGGCCTGGGGGACGGCGGGCAGTACCTGTGCACCGCGGCCAACGCTCTGGGCACGGCACAGCTCCTGGTCACCCTGTCGGTGCTGGCCTACTCGCCCCGCATCGCCGGCAGCCGCCACCGGCTGCTCACCGCGCACTCCGGCAACACCGTGGCGGTGCCGTGCAAGGCCGAGGGCAGGCCCCCTCCCACCATCTCCTGGGTTCTGGCAAATAAAACCCACCTCTCCGGCTCCTCCGCGGGGAACGACAGAGCTCACGTGGAAGCGGATGGCACGTTGGTTATCCGGGGGGTCACTGTGTACGACAGGGGCCTCTACACCTGCCTGGCCAAAAACCCTGCGGGCACCGACACGCTGGCCCTCAAGCTGCAGGTCGTTGTGGCCCCTCCCACCATTCTGGAGGAGAAGAGACAAAGCGTGGAAGGAAAGATGGGGGAAAGCCTAGAATTCCCTTGCACAGTGCAAGGGAAGCCTCAGCCCACCGTCCACTGGGTCCTCCCCGATGGCACGGCCGTGAAGCCTCTGCAGTTGGTACACACGAGGCTGTTCCTGTTCTCCAATGGCACCCTCCACCTGGGCAGCATCGGCCCTTCCCACAGCGGGAACTACGAGTGCATAGCCACGAGCTCCAGCGGCTCGGACAGGAGGGTGGTCAGCCTCGTGGTGGAGCACAGGGACACGCTCCCAAAAATAGCCATCGCCTCTAAAGAACAGACTCACCTGAATTACGGAGATAAATTGCTTCTGAACTGCACAGCAACTGGGGAGCCCAAGCCCAGGGTCATGTGGAGGTTGCCTTCCAAGGCTGTTGTGGACCAGTGGCACAGGTATGAGTCTTTTCTTTTTCCCACCTCTTTGGAATTTCAAATACTATCTCCCCTGGTGGTCATGTAAGACTGTATTACAGCACTAAAGCACTGTGAACTAAATTAATTTTTAAACATTTAACAGTGGTGAAAATATCTGTGCTAATGGATCGTTGTTATATGTCTTATAACATCATATCAATTCCCATAAGTGGGTGAGGTCTCCCCAAAACAAATACAAGTCATATTTGAATTAAGGGAACCGCTGTTACCCTGCACTGGCTGGTTGGGGCCAGTTTGGAGGAGAAGTTATACGTACCAGATCATGAAGTAGGGCTCAGCAGGAAGAGGCTTCTGTAGTCTCTGCTAAGGCTACCTTTTGGGGGTCTCCCCCCACCCCCTCCCACAGTAGTACTTCACCTTTGCTTTGGGAGACAGTCCCAGCTCAGGGTGTTCCCAGCAGAGTTAACCTGCACACATCCACGCAACACCAGAATTGACAATGACACCGGGTTAGGACCCAGTGGGTGGGCAGGTGGTGTGGGCACAGTGCCTTCAGAGCAAATCTGTGTGTCATATCGTGCTACTGACACCTTCAGTCCCTTCCAGTGCTCAGTATTCACCCCCAGCACTTGGTTCCATAATCCTTCTCCTCTCTCTCCCCCCACAACAGAATGGGAAGTCGGATCCGTGTCTACCCCAACGGATCCCTGGCTATTGAGGCAGTTACTGAAAAGGATGCAGGTGATTATCTGTGTGTCGCAAGAAACAGAATTGGGGATGATCTGCTACTGATGAAAGTCAGCATCACAATGAAACCAGCCAAGATTGACCATAAGCAGCACTTCAAGAAACTGGTGCCATACGGCAAGGATTTCAGAGTGGACTGCAAGGCCTCAGGGTCGCCCACACCAGAGATATCTTGGGGTCTGCCAGACGGAACGCTGGTCAACAACGCGATGCTGGCGGATGACAGCGGGCACAGGTCCCGCAGGTACATCCTCTTTGACAACGGGACTCTGTACCTCAACAAAGCTGGAGTGACAGAAGGAGGAGATTACACCTGCTATGCCCAAAACACTCTGGGGAGGGATGAGATGAAGATCCGTGTCATGGTCATCGTGGCAGCCCCTCGGATAAAGCACAATTACAAGACGTATGTTACAGTGTCAGCTGGGCACACGGCACTGCTGGACTGTGAAGCTGCTGGAGATCCCAGGCCACAGATATTCTGGTTGCTGCCTTCCACTGAGATGATCTCCTCGTCCACAGACAGACACTCCCTGCACACCAACGGCTCTCTCTCCATCAGCCACACCAGACTGCTGGATGCTGGGGAGTACATGTGTGTGGCTCGGAACCCTGGTGGGGATGACACCAAACTGTATAAGCTGGATGTGGCTGGTAAACCCCCCATCATAAACGGTTTATACAGGAACAAAACAATCATGAAGGTGACAGCAGTGAGGCACTCAAAGAAACACATTGACTGCCGGGCAGAGGGGACACCTCCCCCTCAGATTATGTGGATCATGCCCGATAACATTTTCCTCACAGCCCCATATTACGGGAGCAGGATCACGGTGCATGAAAACGGGACGCTTGAGATTCGGAATATCAGGCCTTCGGACACGGCGGATTTTATCTGTGTGGCACGGAACGATGCGGGAGAGAGCGTGCTGGTGGTGCAGCTGGAGGTCACGGAAATGCTACGGCGACCGATGTTCAAAAACCCATTCAACGAAAAAATTATAGCAAAACCTGGGAAAACTACCACACTGAACTGCTCTGTGGATGGAAACCCTCCCCCAGACGTAAGCTGGATGCTGCCCAATGGCACGTGGTTTTCCAGCGGCATCAGCACGCCCCAGTTTCTCACGGGAAGCAACGGGACCCTGACCATCTACAATCCCAGGAGAGACCAAGCGGGGCGGTACCGCTGCGCTGCCCGCAACAAGGTGGGCTATATCGAAAAGCTGATCATCCTGGAGGTTGCCCAGAAGCCCCATATCCTCAGCCACCCCGTGGGGCTGGTGAAGGGCGTCAGCGGGGAGCCGCTGTCACTCCACTGCCTGGCCGAGGGGAGCCCCAAGCCCAGCACGGCGTGGACGCTGCCGGGGGGCCGCGTGCTGGACCGGCCGCAGGTCAGCGGGAGGTTCCTGCTGCTGGAGAACGGCACGCTGCTCATTCGGGAGGCCACGGCCCACGACGGGGGCGATTACGTGTGCAGGGCCCGCAACGCCGCCGGAGACTCCTCCGTGACCGTGGCCGTCACCGTCACAGCCTACGCCCCGCGGATCACGGGCAGGCCCCCGCCCGCCCTGCACACGCTGCCGGGGGCTGCAGTCCAGCTGCACTGCACGGCGCTGGGCATACCCAAACCAGACATCACCTGGGAGTTACCTGACCGCTCCATCCTCTCCACAGCCCACCAGGGCCGAGGATCGGGGGGCGAGCTGCTCCACCCCACGGGCACTTTGTTCCTCCAGAATCTCCGACCTTCCCACTCCGGCATGTACAAGTGCACGGCGAGGAACCCCCTCGGCAGTGACTTCGCAGTAACATATGTCCACGTCATCTGAAGTCAGAAATGCAGCAGGAGTGATGGTGAACACGGGCTGCAGCTGGACTGAGGTCATCCTTGGAATGAGTCTAATCAAAGGCAGCCAAAGGCATGTGAGTGCCTGAAAACACTTACAGTGTTCAGTCTGCAGTGACTGGGCAAAAGGAGAGAGGAAGGGGAAAATTAGCTCTAGCATTATTAGCTAGCATTGGTTCTCTCCACGTTCAAGGGATTTAAAGCAAACTCTGCCAGCAAACATAGACTATCAAACACAATTTACTTTCTGGAAATGTACACAGAGAGCTCCTGTATGGACAGAATTATTCATATCAGTTCAATACTGCCCACCTGGAATGACTGTCATAAGCACAGATCACAGAGGGCACGAACATCTGGGAACTAAAGAGCAGGTTTATTGGGATGCAGATTACCTTCTTAATGTGTTTTAATATTTAGTATGTTTTTTAAATAAATATTTCATGGTGAAACAAGTAGTGAAGTATTTTCAATAGGACAGCTCTGCTTGCCAGTCTTTTCTGCAGAGCTGTGGGATGACACAGACCAGCTTTGGACTCAGTTTGGAACAAGAGAGGGAGCTCTGCTCAGCACTGTTAAGCCAATGCACACAGACTGGGTGTAGAACCACTCCAGCTTGGCATCGTTTTCTTATTGCCACAGAAACATTTTTTTTTAAAGTTTCTCATTAGAAAACAATTGCTTGAATTTATGACTCAGTTTAGAATTGTGATTCCTCAGTTCAGCAGCCACATAGGCCTGAAAAGGAACTTCCCCCTGGGCTGGGAATACCTGCCATGCCCCACTGGTACCTGACACAGGTGACAATAACTCCTCCAGGACAGGTGGTCCAAGGGCTGTCAGCTCCAGGGCAGCCGAAACCGCGGGAAGGACTCCGGGGCTGTTCTGCACTCACGCTGGGAGGGCTGGGATGAGACCAATCACTGCTGGCAGTGGTGAGACATGGGGGGGGTCATCTCCTGCCACGGGGGTTCATCTCCTGCCACGGGGATTCATCTCCTGCCACGGGGATTCATCTCCTGCCACGGGGGTCCATCTCCTGCCAGGCTTCACCAGGACTCAGAGATTCCCTGCGTGACTGGAGCGAAGCCCCCCTGGAGCACTCGGTCCCCGTCACCCTCAGGACCATCCCCTGAGAGCTTCAGATGAAAGACACCAGATGGGAACACTGCTGCTTCCAGTAGGTTTATTAATGTTACATTGTGGGGTTTAATATAAACTTTAAGAAGTTTTAATACAAGCAATAAACCCATTTCAGCACCTTCTTACCACAATAAGAGCAAGAGGAATTAGTAATTTAAACAAAGAACTTTATAAAGTGCATGTGAAAATCACAGTCAAATAAACATGATATGAATTGATGTTTGTTCTACCAACAAAGAGGTGAAGTGCCTTTCAATTCAGTAATTTGGTCCAGTGCAGTACTTTTTTTTTTAATTTAAAAAAAAAAAAGAAAAGGTTTTTCCCATAAATAAATAAATAAATCCAGCATTCTTTGCCCTCTTTAAAAGTAACAGGATCTAAAAAGCACCAAATTCATAAAATCTGCAATAACGTTCTTCAAATAGGCCCACAAGTCCATACATTGAAATCCAGTTAAATAACCCCAAACCCACCTTGTTACATATTCACATCAACTGCATCACAAAAAATAATGATGGAAATAAGAGAACTCAAGTCTGCTGTCTAGCCATAACTAGTGCATTGAATTTCCAGTGTCCTGTTCCTCAGTGCAAAGGTCCCCTGGGTCCCCCCAGCCACGGTCAGAAGTGGGGGTACTGGCTCCCCCCTTGCTGTGGTTGGTTACCTGGGGGAGGAAGCAAAGGGGGTGACTGTACAAAAATACAGAAAAATACCTGTATTTGCTGCAGGGGTGGCAGAGGACAGGCTGCACATCTCCCTTCCTCCTGAGGCACTCACTCCCCTGGGGACTTTTCCCGCAGAGGGCTGGGGAAGGTGAGGGGGCCCCAGGCACAGTCCCGTCCTGTGGGCGACGGGACCAGCAGGGCCCCGTGGGGTGCCCCAAAACCAGGGCTTTGGTGTCACATCAGGACTGGGATGGGTGCCCACTGTCAGCAGGCGAATGACCTCCATGCACACCTGGCAGCAGGTAGATAGGCAGAAGATCTCCAGAAAGATAATTCCGTGTTCAAATACACGTTTCCACATGTCTGTGCACACACTTACTGGAGAGCTGCTTCTGGAGCTGCCGCACCAGCGCCGCCGTCTGCTGCTGCTGCGGGGTCTGCTGCAAGCCTGGCCTCGGGAACTGCAATGGGAATGGAAAAGGGGAAAGGAGCCTCCCGGTGCCTGTGCCACAGCAGGGAACCACAGCGTGCTCGGCCGGTGCCACCCCGGCACAGGGGCCGGGACGTGGGGAGGGCAGCGAGGGCAGGGGGGTGTCCTGACTGAGGTGTCACAGCACAGCAAGGACACAGGGAGCACCCTCAGAACTCACACAGCATCTGTTCTCTTCCTTCCCTGAAATCCCACCCTGTTCAGCCTGGAGAAGAGAAGGCTTTGGGGAGCCCTCACTGGCCATGGCCATGGCATGAGGCACAGTGTGGTTAGCACCCCAAACCCAGGCTCTACCACCCATCTCTGACTCACCCTCAGGTCTCTCAGCTCGACAGGTCTGCCTCCTAAATCCCATTTTTTTTTTTCTCATTAGGCCTAGTGCAAATGCACATGCTTCTGATTTTAATTAAGTGATTCTTCTGCACAGGGACCCGTGATGCAGTTTGGAAACCTGAGGTGCTGAATAAAACTTGAGTAATCCCATACCTTAATAACTCCGTGGGCGCTGCAGAAACCGCCCGAGCTTTGCTCAGCAAAACCTTGTGCTTACTGAAGGCAGTTTCAGCATTTTACAAGACTTCAGCATCTTTTCCCTTTCTGAAACCAAATCCTTCACTTAAAATATGTTATGTAATCTCCTGGCTACCAGGCCATAGTAACTGCCAGGTTAGTCAAAGGTATTAGCAACCACACCGGGGTTTTTGGGAACACAAACCCAACCCACAGCACCTCCTGCTGTGCAGGTGTTGGCAGAGGAGCCTGTGCTGGGCAGGTGCCCATTGCTCTGAAACTCTCCCAGCAGTTCGTTCAAGATATAAAACCCATTCAGAAAAACTCAAAAATGGATGAAAATTATCTAAGATTAACACTTTTAAACTTGGAGGCTGCGATTTCAGCATCCCTGTACTCTGGTTTTATGACTAACAATATAACTTAAAAGCATCTCCAAAAAATAAACCCCATTTTTCCCCTAGCCTGTTAGCAGTACATCCTAAAAATCCAAGGCGAGAACAGACACCTGTGATGGAACGTGGCAGGGGCTGGAGTTCAGCTGTGGTGGATGGAGCTGCCAGGGCACGGGGGTGCTCCACAAACACGAGGGGCAATGTCAACCATCGGCACCTCCCGTGGCCAAGGGCACGCTTCCTTGTGCACAGGTGACAAAGCCCACCCTGTCCCTCCCCCCACACCTCCCCAAAACACCCAAAACACCCAAAACACCCAAAACACCCTGCTCACCAGCGGCTGCTGTGGCTGCACAGGTTGCAGTCCAAGTGCTGTCTGCTGCCCCAGCTGCTGCTGCTGCTGCACCTGAGAGAAGGTGGGCACTGAACAACAGGCACACAGCCCATGCTGCCTCCAGGACCTACCTCCAAATTAAAAAATATCACCCAACCAGAAGAGAGGAAAAGGGCCAGACAGGCGAGAGGCCCTTTGGTTTAATGCCAGGAACATTGTAAGGCCAGACAGAGAGCACACAACCAGCACCTCTGCTCGGCACACCCAGCCAGGCCATTCTCAAATCTACCTTCTATAATCTGGAAAATCCAAGTACTGAGCTTTACACCTGTGTCCAGAGCTCCCTTCTGGAAGTCCCCAAAGTAAACAACGAATGACTGCACTGAGGGAAAGGCAGGTGGGGTTTGTAGCACCAGGCTCTGGAGTTTTAGACTCGAAGACCTGTGCGAGCGAGCGTGTTAACACTCTCACTGACACAGTGATGCTCACACCCCCTGCTCTGTCACATCCCCAGCCTCAGCACGGCCGAGCCCTCACCTGGAAGATCCGCTGGTGCTGCACCTGGTGCTGCCTCTGCGTGCCCGGCTCCGGGGCCAGCTGCCCCGCGCCCAGCGCCGGCCGGGGGGCCACGGCCGAGGAACCATCCAGTCCCCCTCCAACCAGGGAACCGGGCTGCAAGGGCTGATGGCTCAGTCTGGGGGGGGAAAAATGACAGATTAAACTTCATTTACAGACAGAGCACAACGGTCTGGGAGAACTCAACTCTAGCTGCAACATCAGACTTCCACAGATTTAAAAGATGTTACACGATACGCTGCACAATAAAGCCGTGCCATACCACTGCCCAGTAACTGATCCAGGCTGTGACACCTTCCCCTCAGCAGGAACAGACCCAAGCACTCAGCTCTTGCTTGTCTAGGAATAGCAGTGAGTTTCTACACCTCAAGGCATATTTATTGCTAATTAGATGTGGTGTTAACCCCATTTTGGTTAATCAGCAACTTGAGCAATCTGGTCTAGTGGAAGGCATCCCTGCCACTGCAGGGATCGGAACTGGATGGTCTTTAAGGTCCCTTCCAAACCAAACCGTTCTGATTCTATGATTCTATTATTACCAGGCTCTCCCCACCCTGTTCCCAGGGCTCCCACTCACCGTGGGGCGCCGGCAGGAGTGGGGCCGTAGGTGGGTGGCTGCTGCTGGAGGTACCCGGGGTGCTGGCCCTCCCGCAGCCGCTCCATCAGTGGGGGACAGCTGGGGGACAGCCCCACGCCGGGCTGCTGCTGCTGCTGCACCGGCACCACGCTGCCGTACAGGGCGTATCCGTGGGGCAGGCTCTGCGGGACAACCACACGAGTGAGAGCGACACGAGGGACTGCACCGGGCAGAGACAACAGCACAACTGCAACACAGAGGGGGCCTCGCCAAGGAGCCACAGCCCAGAGATCTCACGTGTCCCCCACGCTTGTGGGACCCCCTTCTATCTGCAGGTCCGTTCAGGCAGCTGATGTGTGGCCACACATGGTCGCATGCTGTCACACATGGTCACATGTGGTAAATGCTGTCACACGTTGGAACACACTGTCACACGCAGCCACATGGAATGAACCTGCACTGTGCTGCCTTCCCAAGAGGCGATGAGCAGGAGCGGGGCTCTGCTCCAAAACACCATCTCTATTTTCCTCATATCCCCCCAAAATCCCAAGTACCAGAATGACCATGACATAATAGAGTAACTGCTATCATTGTCTCACCAGAAACTGGTCAGATTTCCAGCTTAACACTGAAGTACGCTTGCTATTCCCAGCAACAACATCAGGAAAAACTGGGCAGTGGCCCTGTCAAAAACATTCATGAGCTACCAGATGTGGGGGCCACGAGCACCCCAGGAGGAGGCCTCGCCGGTACCCCCAGCCACAGGTACACCCCAGGCACAGGGCAGCAGGCTGGGGAAGGGAGCCCTGTTTCTCACATTTCCACGCAGGTGCACAGTACCTGTGCTTGCTGCAGCCCCGGGTACTGGGGGAGTTGGGACAGGGGTGGAGCCTGCGGAGCGAAAACAGCAGCTTGGTCCATTGGCTGCCCCTGCAAGACACAGCACCATCAGGTATGACCCCCTCGAACGAGTCTGGCTCTGGACACAAACCCCACCCAGCTGTGCCCTGAAGAATCAGGGAGCAACAACCATTTCCTCCAGGACAGCCCCGCTGCTCAGCGCCCAACTGCTGTGCTGTGCTCACTCCCAGGAGGTGGAAGCACTGACCTTTGGTGTCTGACACTGCTGTGACACTGCAGCAGGGAGGAGCAGCCATCCACTGCAGGGGGCTTGCAGAGACCCTTTAAATGGGGCTTTGCAAAGGAGTGGAGAAGACATCCTGGCCATCTTGAGGCCAGGACATTAAACCACACAGGAAGCTCCGAGTGAGTAACAATCTCTGGTATAACTGCAGAGGTGGTGACTTTTTCATCACACCTGGTTCCCAGTTTTCCCCCAGTGAAACAGGCAAAATGCTGATGAGTAAATTTGATGGTGGCATACAAAACACCAGTATGGCAAATGGGTAACACAAGCAGCTCCAGCTCCAACCGGTGCAGCTGGGAACGTGCTCCCTGTTGTGATCAGCAGCCAGCCTTGCTTGTCCATCCAAATCACTTCACTATTTGTGCCCAGTTAAGGGGAAATCATTTAAAGATTGTGATTATAACTGCAGCAGTGTTTTTGGAAGCACTAGAAAAGGGAAAAAAATTAAATGTTAGACTTCATTTCAGGAGTGAGATTGTTAAAAGCTGGAGAATGAGAATGTGCCAAGGATACAACCAGTTCGTGTGTTCCTTGTGACTGGGATGCTGCACAGCTGCACCTGGTCATTTTTTAAACCATTCTACCCACAAAAAGTTCAGGGACAGACAGGAGCTGGAAGCAGTGCTGCTCCTTCCCTGCAGCTGCCCCGCTGTGCACAAAACCAAATACGAATCCAAGTCCTCCAACAAAGCCTTTGCCATTCTAACCAGGATATCCTTAGGGAGTTGGATAATTTAAGGTGAAAAGTGACTTTGGTAACACACTGCAAGCGGCAACATCACAATTCCAGCTACCCCATGGAAAAGGATTGGAGAGCCCTCCTTGTGTACTTGCTGCATATCCAGGCATTCCTAATTAGCTGCAGAGAGGGTGGTGGATCCCCTGTTCTGACACACCCCCAGAAACACCAGGAATGATTCAACACATGTAAAGGATGGATAAGAGGCTCAGTGGCAAAGCCTCCTTAAACACACATTTTGTTCTGCCTTGCCAGTGAGGGTTTTTAGCAGCATGGCACTTTCCCTGGGACAGGGCCAAAGTCCTGCAGACCAACTCTGACACAGTGTCTCTAATTAATATCTGGAAAGCTTTCCAGCACAGATATTAGGGATGAAACTTCATGGCATCGTTGTTTTTCCCCAGAAAAAAACCTGAATTCTATGGAAGGTAATGATTTAACAGGTAAGTGTTACTGGTGTGGCTGTTACTGGTTTCATAAGTAACAAGATCTGATCATTCCCATAACAGCCCATCCTGCCAGTGCAGAACACCCGTCCATGCTCAGACAGACATGGCCTTGGGCACGTCCTGCAGCTGCTCTCATCTTCCACAGCAAGAAACACATCAGAAGAGGGAAAAACTGACCAGTGAAACTCGGAAATATTTCTAAGAAAAAGGTATTCTCTGTGCACAGGTGTATGGGCAGCCTCCCCCATGCAGCCCCTGCACTCCTGGATGAACAGCCCCAAAGCACAGTGGCATTCCCAGTGGAAGCAGAGTGCAGCCTGAGTGGGGGAAGGAATGCATGTTCAGGTGAAAGAGGAATAAAGAGAAGGTCCCAGTGTCTGAGTGGTTACCATTATGTTGTCAAAGCCATCCTGAAGGGATACAGCAGAGCCACAGACATCCTGTGGGAAAAGGACAGGCAAGAATGTAGCAACAAGACCAGGAATTCACCCTGGCTAGGCTTCAGGAACAAAGATTCGAGAACACCAGGAATACACACAGTTCATCTCAGGTGTTAGTGGAGCAGTGCAGCACCTTGACAGAGCTCACCTGGATGGGCTCAGAGAATGCTGCCTTTGGAACACCAGTGAGGTCCTTTTAGGTGGTTTTGATGCCAGTGAACCTCAATGCTTTTATGATATTTATGAACAGGAATTCTAAATGTGGAGAGGACCCCTCACCCTCCTCAGGAGACCACTCATTCAATATTGTCCAAGACCTCACACTACAGCTATTTGTTTCCAGGAGCACAGGTCTAAAGAGCAGAGTCCTTCTAGATGGATTCCACAGAACTGTCCCCACCACTGCCAGGGATTTCAAGCTGGCAATAACTTTTACAATGAAACTATTGTCACTCAGTTGCCATTTAAGCACTACAGAGGCCTTTGCACAGATCATAGCAGGGAATCAGAGAGGGATGAGAAGAATAATGAGAAGCTGTAACAAAACAGAGACAGGAGCAGATTGACAAGGATACTTGTTGAAATGATGAACTATTTTGTGCAAAGAGGGCACAGCACAGAGTTTGGAGGCAAGCCAGCATAAGGGCAATGTCCTCTATACTGCAGTGGGGTTCAAAGGCAGTTGGCCCTGCTTGACTAACATTTGGGGAATTGTTGTAACTATCAGCTGGCTCCCCCCTGTAAGACAGGCAGGGCACAGAGCCCCAACACGGGGCAAACCCAGCATGCTGCTCCTCAAACTGAGGGGCTGGACAAACCTGCTGGAGAGCCCGTGCCTGCACCTGCTGCCGCAGGAGCCGCTGCTGCTGCTGCTCTTGCTGCAGGAGCTTCACGTGGAGCTGGGCTGGGATCCCATGGACCGAGGGCAGCTGCGGCACGGAGCCCGAGCGCCGCTGCAGCATGGTGGACAGGGCTTGCTTCGTGTTCACTGCGACAAAGGAGCCTGCTGAGTCCACCCTGGAACCACCTAAAACCACGCAGAACACAGATGTATCCTCTGCCTTCCCTAAGAGCACTGCTGGTACAGAGTGCTGGCAATCCATCAGATCTACACAGCGATGACAAACCCACCTCTGCAAAGGCAGAGTTTGGATTAAACCACATTTCTGGCCTGGAAATTTAAATGGGAAAAGTAACTTTGAAGACTGTCACTTATAAATGAGAATGAAAAGTACAAAGCCTGTAGGCTGCTGTATGTTCTATGCTACATAAAACATCTCACTATTACTGCTGAAGAAAAGCTGCATGTCAGATCCAAAGCATGATATGAACAGCTTAATATGTCAAGCCAATTTTATAATGAGATAGCAATTTATATAGCACTCTCTGCTATATGATAAAAGTCGTGTATCTTTCCGTCAGATTTACAAAGGTGATCTTACACATTTGTTCTCAAAAGCAGCATTTCCTTAAACTTTTTAGCCACTCTCTGGTATATTCTGAAGACTTTTACACAGTTAAAATACAGAGTAGTTGTATTTGGAGCTTCAGAAAAAAATATTTAGCCTTTATAACTGGAAAAAAAATTGTTAACTTCTCCTGCATAATTTTGGAGAAGCCTCGATAGTTTCTCAAATCATAACAAACTGCTGCCCTCTGGAGCCAGCAAATCCTTATAAAACTGTAACTCACTAACTGGAAGAAACAAGACAATGCTACACAAAACTAAGCACATATCAGAAATGCCGAAAAAAATGTGAGCCCACACCTCTCAGATGGGAAATTAGCCACCACAGCTCTTGGTATGAATCAAAAGAGAAATAACCCAGAGGGCCTTTGTTCTTTTAATCGTCCCTCTCCCAGTGTCACCCCACCAGCTCTCTTCCACTGCCACCACAGGGACTCCTTGTGGCTCATTTACCCAGAAAGTTCAACACCTTCACAGAGACAGAGCTACAACCGAGGGCAGCGAAGCCCCCAGAGAACCCTCTGATGAGGAAGGAATCGACCAAACGGCACCGGCGACACAGCCCGTGCCAGAGAGAGGGTCACAGGTGGGCTTTGTCCCAGCAACCCAAGCGCGCAGGGCTGTGCCCTCGGAGCCAGCGTACCTGCAGGGAGGGGCTGGCTCTGCAGGAAGAGCCCGGGCTGTGCTGGGGGGGCCCCCAGGCCGTACCCCCACAGGGCCGGGGGGGTCAGGTGAGCCATCGGCAGCGGGGAGCAGGGGGGAGGCACTCTGTACAAGCTGGGCTGTGGATATTCCTAAAAACACACACAAAAGGGAGCGTCGCTGACATTCATACCTTACCAACTCATAAATAATGCCCATTTTCCTACTGAGTTATTAAAGCGCAGACACAGTTCCTTTGTCATTGACAGTGATGTAAAAACAAGATAAAGGCTGGTAATTCCCACTGACAGCTCCAGGCACATCCCAGCCATGGGTATCTGATCAGCAGGTACCTTCTGCAGGCTATGGTCAGGTAGAGCACAAGGAGAGCTCACTGTACCAGGATTTAAGTAACAGCAGGAACTTCACTGAAACATCAAAAAGGCCAGAAAATTATCTTGAAATTACAGTTACTCAAACCACAACACTTGGACAAACCAGGTGGATGCTGAGGAAATACCAGCACATCCACACCAGGGACGGCCACGCTGGCAGCACTGTGGAGAGGCTGCAACCACACAGAACTCTGCTGCTGGAAATGTACATCATCATCATCATTATTATCCTTATTATTGTTATTATTATTATTAATTATTATTATTATTATTTGGGTGGTGCCAGGCATGTTTTCAAACCCTTGCTCTAAGTGACTCTTCAGCTTAGGAACCCACTACTCAAACCCCAACAAAATAAAAAGGGAAGCATCTCAGAAACCAGACCAAACTTCACAGTAGAACGGTTTATCTGTGTGAAAGAGCGTTTTCCAAACTGGCTCCCATTTGAACAGGACCGACAAGTCTGATTTCTTCCTGGCCATCTCCATTCCCTCCCTTCACTGGGACTCTCTCCTCCAGGTGCAGAAGCATTTCCAAAGGCAGAACCACACAACACCAGGTGCTGTGGGGAGGTGTTTCAGGTTCTGTGCAGCACCAACCATTTACCTCAGCTCTGGAGCTCGACTTTGACTTCCTCTTCCTGCCCTTTGCCTTCTTCTCATCAGCCGTGCCATGTTTTCCCTGATCCAAGAGCTCTCCCAGCTTTCTCTCTGGTTCCTGAGACACAGGTGTGGTGGGCTCCTCCTCCTCCTCCTCCTCTGGAGGAAGGGGCAAGGGCTCGAGGTAGTAGCTGCGTGGTTTGGGTTTGGGGTGTGTGTGGTACAGCAGCAGATGCTGCTGCTCCTCGTATTTGATCACCTTCCTGTCCACACGAATGGTCCCAAACCACGCCCAGGAGAGAGGGGCAGGGTTTTTGTGACCTTCAAATAAATCCCAAGGGGACACCTTTTGTTTGGATGACACCTGAAGACCCTGTTTCAGAATCAAAGGGAAATCAAGATTTAAGAAAACTGAACAACAGATTTGCTTTTGTACATGACTGACTGAGTCAGAGAAAAATGCATTTGGTACCGAACAACCTTGCCATTTGCAACTCTCTTTAAAGGTGTTCTTTGACAAGCCCAGTGTTCCTCAGTGCTGGCAGCAGTGCCCACAGAAAGCCCACCTGTGTAAGGGACCACCCTGCTGGGGGACTGGGAGGGCGTCTCTCAGCTTTCACAATCCTGCCCAGGGACACCTGCACTGCACAGGCTGTACCTGTCGGCATGGAATTCCCACACTTCCAAACTCAGGGAGAGGGAGGCTGAGCCAAACGTTTGCTCTTGCCTGTTTCTTGTCGATGGAGTCAAAGCCCGCAATCTTGTTGCCCTTGGTGTCGATCAGGGACCCCGTGGGCTCGCAGGCCACGATGTCACACGTCAGCCTGGGCAGCGGCAGCAGCTGCCGGACCTTGTCGATGCTCTCAGACCTCTTGTCCCCCAGCTCCTTCTGGGGAACAAACACAAAGGGGGACAGGAAAGAACATGGCACTGCTTTCACTATGACAAATGTCCACTTTCTGGATGAATCATTTCCCTGTACTTTTACTAAATTTAAGCAAGTGGTTTTTCAGGGGCTTTTTTTTGGGTTTTCTCTTTGTTTAAAGAATGTAAGTTTTCTTCTCATCTCTTGTTTAAAAAACACAGTGTAGAAAATACATAACACAAAATTAGTGTCTCAGACATAAATAAAAGCAACTGAGTGTCTTGCAGGGTCCCCAATTTTAATTGAATATGATGAAAATCCTAATAGTATCTTCCCACTTCCACATTCCTGTATTTTCTCTTTTCTCCTTTTTATGACTAGGTATGTTTTAGTCTCTCTATTTCCAAACGGCCTTTCCAGACATCAGGAAGGACATGATTAAAAGATGAGGGCAGAAAGCAATTCAAAGGAAATGTTGGAGATGACAAGACGTGACCCTTACTTTTAATTTCTTCACTAAATTCATGTAAGCCCTTTTGTTCTCCTCAGGCCCTCCTTGGGTGGCATTCGACAGGTCCGAGGCGAGTGTCCCGTTGATGAGGACTCCCAGCATGTCCAGCACAGTCGTGAACAATTCACTGGGGGTAAAAGCAAGTGTTATCCCGAGGAAGTACAACTGCCAGGAGATCCAGGGGCAGATATCCATGGCAGAGGCCCCAAAGGAAGCTCTTGCCCAGGCTGGGTTTCTCAGGGCTTTCTGTACACACACACCTGAGGTCACAGTCCTGAGTCCCATCGCACACACGCAGGTGGACTGCCAGGATGTGCACAGAAATCTCATCTTGAACCCCAGCCCAGAGCCACAGACAGCACAAACTGCCAGCAGAGGCATTAGGAATTACAGGCTGAGACTCAGGGAAGCACTCAGGCACGGGACAGGTTAGGAAGGGTGTGAACAGCATCTCCAGTGCTTTCCCAAATGGAGGTACCCCTACCCCAGGCCAGCACAGAGGGCTAAATCCCACTCAAGCACTGACAGGATAAAGAACTGTAACAATAACCTACACACAACCTAAACTTAAAGCCCTAAGGACACAAATGAGCTGTTTGAACAGGGCAGACATACTTGTTGGTCTGCAGATCCACAGTCCCTGAGGTGATGATCTGCAGGAGCAGAAGGGCCCAGTCTGTGGTCCACTGGGTGCTCCTCTGCACTGTGTCAAACATGCCACCCACCTGCAAAAGAACACAGCAGGAAGCAGGGCTCTGCACGGCTCAAAGCAGCTCCCTTGGCTTCCCTTGGGGGAGGGATCACTTTGGAATAAACAGCTACCCAGTTCCCCAGGGAGCTCGATACTCTGGAGCTCCTTGCTCCTTCCCACCCCCTCTAGAATAGCTGCTGCATCTTTTCCTGACATCAGGACAACCACAAGTTTTTGTTACCAGGTTAAGGCGCAGTTGCAGGGCTTCGTGCATCATCTGCCTGGCTTTGACGTCGTCCTGGTACCGCTCTTCCCTCCAGTTACTGAGGATCTAAGAAAAAACACTGGATTAAGGTTGCTTTCCTCCTGTAGTGTTCTTCCTTTATGTATTTGTGACCATTATCTGTCAGGAATCATAAAAGACCTTTTTATCCTCTTGCCTGTTTAAGGCTTTGAGCAGATTAAACAAACTGGTGGGAGGAAAAAGTTAATTTGTAAAGAGCTCACGATCTGCTGTCAGTGGTGTGACTGCATCTTCCTGTTGCAGAAAAAAAAAATCAGCTTTGATAGGCATTTCTTAACAATAGTGTTTGAAACAGCCTATTTCACCACAGGTAAGTCAACAATCTCTTGTACTGCTTCTCAGTGGGGTCTCTGGATGAGAAAGAACCAGAAGCTCAGGGAATTTGGACCAGTTGCATTTCAGAGGAGAACCCACACAGTGAAAGGAAAGCCCAAGCAGCAGAAACCGAGGGGGGAAACCATCAAAGGAATTAATTCCCCTGGGATGTGGACCTGTGTTGTAGCCTGACCTGAGCCAAGGGACAATATGGGGAAAAAAAGTCATACAGGTAGCAATTCTGACTGTCCCAGAGGGTCACAGGAACTGAAGCCAGAGAAGGGAGACAGAACCCACTGCTCTGGGCACTGGGTATGTTCAGTTTAAAGGCAGAGTGAGGTTGCTGCTGGAGGCTGCAGTGTGAGCTGGCTGGGAGCAGAAGCTCTGGAGGAGGGTGAGCTGAGGCTGTGAGTAAGCAGAGAAACCCAAACTGCAGAGAAACCCAAACAGAGTTGCAGGCAATGGCCAGGCTGGGACCAGGAATGGGGCTTTTTAAAATCTGAAAGGCTCAATCTGTGTCAGCTGGAGAAGGTGACAGGTTTTCCCAAAGAGGACACCTTTGAACTTATAAAAACTTTAGTATCAAGCTAGGGACTGGGAAGATTGTTCCTCTCAGGACTAATATCTTTATTGTTTTTCCTGGAAAGAACTGAAATCAGTCTCCAGTTCATTGTATTTCTCTGTAATAAATTTAGAAAACAAAATGTATTCACGCTCAAAAAAGGAACAAACACCTTCTCGTTCTCCCCTCCTCGGACTGCTCCTTTTGGCACACCACTGCACTATAATTTTCCCAGTTTTACACCACCATATACACATAAAACTGCTGACACACACACACCTAACAAAGGGTGCTCATGATTCTGTGCTCGTTTTACCTGAGTAACTTGATTCTGCAGGGATGTGAGAAGCCCTTCCCGTTGCTCATCCTGTCCCTTGAGGCAAGTGAGTACCAGTGACAGGAAAGGCTGCTGGCTCAGCAGGGACATGCTTTAGGAGAGGCAAACACAGCCCTGCATTAGTGAAGTTATTTTGATACTTCCCGTGCTCGCTCCCTTCCTTGTTTTGTCTGTGCTTTTTCTCCTGAAGTGGCACTGCCACATCTGTGTCTGTTCCTATTTTAGTCAATTAAAGTCTTGCCAGAGGAATTAAAGACCATGTCCCAGGAAGGCAGAGCCCCAGCCAGCCCAGATACCCATGCTGTTACTGAGACCTGCTGGCTCAGGGTCTCTGAGTGACCAAGAACTGCCCCCACACCTGATGGCCTGACTCAGGAACAGAGCAGGCTATTTTAAGACTACTTTGATTAACCAGGGATATAATTTTAACAGAGATAAGGCAGTGAAAGTTCTTAATCCATGCTACTGGTCTGAAGTGAACCCCAAGGAAGTTTCCCCTAGAAGCTCTGATTAGAACAAGAGCTGCCTAAATTTGTCTAAAATTCCAAAGTGGGTTTAATTCAGTGGAACTTCTAGCATTACCCCAAGGAAGTGCAAAAACATTGCAAGCACCATGGAAGAATATTTTACTGAAGGAAAATCAATAACCATCAAGTCAAAATTCTCACACATTTTGGAAAGTTAGAGAAGAGCTTAAGCTCAGTCCCCAACAGGAAGCAATGGTGTGATCATAACGGCAAGCAAAGTGGCCCAATGCCACATATGGGAAGAGACAACAAGTGCTCTACCCATTCCTTTACATCCCTGACATCTCCCATCACTGAGCTGCGGCACAGCCCCTGGCTGATGGGTTACAGAGCTTCCACATTTCCTCTTTTGAAACCAGTGCTATTTCTTCAGCCTAACTGACACCTGGACCCTGTTTGGAGTTGATAAAGTGTTGAGTCCTCAGTACAAACACGGTTTAGCTCCGTCTGCAGGGGTTCCCCAAGCTCATACCTTTTTTGTTTCTGTCTATCTCTTTCCTTCTTAGAAGATGACCCCAAATGCTGCCCTTTCTCCAGCTCCTCTCCCGCAGCTTTCAAGACCCTACCTTGAACCGAGGTAGGCAGTTTGGCAATCAGGGGGGCCACCAGCCACACTCCTCGCCGCTCAGAGGAACTAGGAGCAGAGCAAACTTATTTCAGCCAAAATACCCAGGCAGTTCTGCAGCCACGATCAACTGCTACAAGACTGAACTGCTTCAGGTAAGCAGTGGCACAGCACATCTGCAGTAACCAGTGAGGACTGGGCAGTCACAGTTTCTGGGGTCCAGAAATTTCAAGAATAGCAACTACATTTATTGTCAAACCAAAGTAAATAGAAGGAACCTTCAGGCAACTGTTTCTGTACATTCCTGGCTCAAGTACAACACAGTCTAGGCACTCTACACACAATTAAGCATCATGTTGGCTAAAAGAATTAAAAAGGTGCTGCAAAAAATACCTTAGGAATGTCTTTTTACCATTCTGTCTTGTATTACTTGTGTCAGCATTTCCAACAGAGTTTGGACTGAAGAGGCCTATACCAGAGTTAGAAGAGTTATTGTTTAGCTCAGCGGATTGCTGAAACACCTCTATTGTCGCCTTTGCGATATTATCCAACAAGCTGTTCATTTCAGCCACAGCCCCAGAACCCTACAGTAAAACACAAGTACACTAGCACATTCATGGCATGTTTGCTCGGGGACTACGTTAAAATTTAACATTCTTTTTTGCATTAAATATTAATGTTAAGGAAGTTTGAAAGTCAATACTCACAGGCTCCTTCGTGCACTGTTTGATCATCAGCTGCAGCTCCAGCCACGACTGCCTCAGAGTCCACTGGTCTAAGTTCTAGGGGTGAATTAACATTACATATGCTAATTGTTAATAATATTAACATAAAGTCAACATTTTACAGGTCTGAAGGAATGAGTCTCATACTTGAACACATCATGTGCAGAAGCCTCATCTTACAGGCAGATCATCACAGTCCCTGATCTTTTCTAATAGACTATTAACAAGGCAAAACATCAGAGCATTAAAGAATCTGTACTTCCACACCTTTCAGCTAACACCATTCCTCGGTACTTTTAACCTCACAGCTTTTCTGAATAATCTCATTCTCTGCAAAATCTGAATTTAGTTCAATATGAGTACAGAAAACGTCATTTTCTCTTTCATTGGTAATTCCATTAATCCACAGCATTGCCACCCAAGTGGATATGTCTGAATTTAGCACGAGGCATGATTTTTTTTGGAGGACACTGACCCTTATTTGTCCTGCTCCAGATATTGCAGATTTGATTTTTCACAGGGCTCTTCACAGAAAATCCATTTTTCAGTTTAGGAACTGAACTGTCCCTAACACAGCTCAGTGTGAAGACGTGGTCAGCTTGGGACTGTCTGTGAGGGGGTTTGAGCCTTTCCAACGGAGCAGGAGTGACTGTCACCCCAGTGCTGTCCCAGAGCCCCACTGGGACACAGGAACCTCCTCCTGAGCAGCCCTGGGGAGGCTCCCCAGTGCCTGGGCATGAGGAGCAGCGATGATGGGTGTGCTGCTCCTCCATGACTTGGCATCAGAGGGAACGAGACACCCCGAGTCACACCCTAAACCCTCCCCACAGAGACTGCAGGTCCTGAGCACCCAGAACCTCTAAAGAACAATCTAATACCGATTGCACCAAGCAGTGTCCCTCGGTGGTGCTGCTGTCACCTGCCCCCAGTGCCTCACCTGAAGGATGCGCTTGATATGCTGCTGCTGAGGGTTGGCACCCTCGGGGCACTCCTTAATGCCATGAGGATAACAGATAAGCTGCAGGAGTTTCTGTGCTTGTTTGTTTGAGAGAACAGGATCCAAAATAAGATCTTTGTCAGTGCACAGCCTCTCAGGTTCCTTCAAACAGTGCTCTCCGACCCACTCCTGCAAGGAGTCAAACGACAGGTTCAGCAGAAAGTTTCAAAGCAATACTAACTTGTGGTAAGCTGAACAGAAAAGTGATTGTTTCACATGCAAAACTTGCAGTGAACTGTGGCTCATGCCACATGTGAGATTAGCAGTGTCTTCTGCCACTCAGAACCACCTGTCTAAGACTGTTAACAGGGTTTCCAAAATTAATTTACTTGAAAGCAACTTTGCAATAACCCAAATGCTACTGCAAAAGCCCTTTAAGCAGAGGGCTGATAGAGTGGTCCTTCTGACTTCTGAAAGTACTTGAGATTTAGGCAGGAAAACCTCCTCAGTTCTGAGAGTGCAGGGGGATGTTAGCAACTAACTAAAGCAGTTTTTAGCCCAAATAACTTACTGCTCCATGAATAAATTGTCCTCATCAGGAAACTCAAACAGAGCACAACTGCTGGCATAGTCCAACACTAATTCTGCACCCAAGTATATGTCACACTTTTCAAATAAATAAAGCCCTTTCTGTAAATGAGGCTGGAGGAGCAGTTCTGGGGGTTTACCTGCTGGCAGATGGTTCTGAGCACGTATCTCGCGTACTCGCTCAAACTGGCAGTTTCCACGGACACAGTTTTTCTGCAGGGTTTCAAAGCATGAGAGGAAGCCCAGATTTCCTCCTTGTTGGGCTCATCTAGGAAGCCTCTCACATGGAACTCTTCACTCTTCAAGGAGCTGGCACTGCTGCTGCCAATGTCTGCGTCACCTGTCCAGCAGAAGCACAGGGTGAACTCCCCCCTCAGCCCCCACACCCCGAGGCACAGAGGCCTTTGGGGCACCAGGAGGTGGGAGCTGAGCAGCAGTGAGGCCATCACATCCAAAAGGGCAGCACTGGCTGACTCTGAAGATCACCAAAGTACTGTCCTCTGGCTTCATGTTGCAAAGCATCTTTTTAATGGGTATTTTTGGAAGTAGGAGAAGGTTTATGCAAATCAAACACAACTGAAGCTCGAAGGGAAAAGGTGAGTGAAAGGAACTGCTTTTGCAAGTAAGGAGGAGTTGAGTTATTGGCTCTTCTCAGATGCCCCTTTTCCAAGTCCTATCTCTTACTTTGATTTATTAGCATTCTGTAGATCAAACAAAAAACTGATGTTTTTCCTCAACAAAGCAAGTACAATTTTTAAATTACTAATGCAGGGTACCAACAAGAGACCTCTCCAGATAGAATAATTTGGGTCTATAGGAGAAGTGCTGCAGTAAAGGCACAAACAAACTATGTACCCAAACCTTCCCTTGTACTCCCCTGCACCAAACCAAAGCATGTCCCTGAAGAGATGAAACCACAGGTGTTCACAACACACACCATTAATGAAGGAAAATCCCAAATCTCAGCACTCTGAACAGCAAGAGTACATAGACAATGGCCATAAACATTTTTCAATCTCACTCTCCAATCCAGCAGTCTATCCCAGCTTGCTCTGTTTGCAAACATCCTTCCCCAGCACAGTCAGGTTATTAGGGGTCCCAGGGGTTTTGAAAGCTCTGAGACACTGGCCAGCAGACTGTCACAATGGCACTCTGGCTGCAGATACACCCTGGGGCGTGGCCACAGCTGGAACATCTTGGTTGTTTAACTGGACATTTACTGAGCTCCAAAAATACACCTCCCCAGAGGTCACAAGAACTTTAGCTGAACTTGAGCCAAACCAAAGCCCTGAGGCAGATACTTGTCCAGAAAACAGCACTCACCATTCACAGAGAGCTGCTCAGGGTGATGCTTTTACAGCTTCCCCAATGGCAGACACCCGGGATTTTGGGAAAACACAGAAAAAGATGAGAAAGCTGATCTGAGATCCTTTCCCCCCTCCATATGTGAGAGGGACTTGCCTGAGTCTGAATGTACTGGCATCTCAGTGGCAAAGGTTGGGGTCAACATCTGCTCAAAGCCTCTCTGCTGGGCTGACTCACCAGGGAAAATCTTTAACCTGGAGCCTGCACTCTCCACATGCTGCAGCAGCAGGGACAGCAGCCACATCCTTCCCTTGTCCTCAGGGTTTTCCTTCCCCAGGAGCATTCCCAGGAAAGTGAACTAGCACAAGCTGTTTTCCACCCAAACGCTGGCACAAACACATCACTCAGGACTCTGCACACTCTTACCAAGCATCAAAATTGCTTTCAAAACTGCAAACACAGCTCCCACTTCGATGCTGTTGTGAGCAGCGGCCAAGAGGTGACGATCACAGGAAGAACGAATCCCAGGAAATAATTTCCCTACGGAGAGAAGAGGAGATTCTGTAGAACATGGGTGTTATTTACCAACTAATTCTTCCTTTGTGTGAAATCTCCCTCAGCTAGAATAGCTCCAGAAGTACAAGAACTGAATGAAGAACTGAAATCTTCTGAAATTGCAGCCCAACAGGTAAGTCATTAAGCCAGCTGGGATATGTGGTTATGATGGATTAATATCAGAATAAGCTATGGCATTGATAGAAAAAGGAGCCTGTTGGTTCACTGTGTCCATGTGAACAGTGAATTTAACCACAATGAGACACTGAAGCCTATTTTGGTTTTGACTTCACAGATTTAGGAAATTGCTTCCCTCACCTCATCTGTAAGACAAATGAGGCAGAATTAAGTGCTGTCAATGCCTGTTGCACAGTTACACCTAATTCTGCAGCTCAGCAGCCTGAAGAAGCCAGCAAGTGTTTTGTGTAACTTGAAGGAGGAGAGCACAGACTGCAAGGCAGGGAAAGAGAGGGGAAGGATGAATCCATCACCTCTCCGAGGCAGTTAACTGAACCAGACGTAAGGAAGGTCTGGAACGTGGCCTCTCTGTATTTGATATGTATTACTTCCTATAGTTCAGTCATGATTCTTCCTTTCCCTTCAAATCTACTTCTATTTCTACAGAAGCCACATCTGTCTGTTCTCAGTCAGTATTCCTCACAGCTCTTGCCTGTTTTTCTCAAATATGCAAAAAAGCTCATTAATTCATGGTCAGAAAAGAAATTACTGTTACTTTCAGATGGAAGAATTTGACACCACTTAAGAGCAGACTTTTCTTTCAATTTCTTTTTCCCATGGATATAATCTTGTTATCAAATTTGATGAAATATTAGAAGTCACACATACATAACACAGGTTATCACCAGGCTTATATGCATTTAATTGTTTGGTTCTTTTTCCTTCCTCTTCTGCTCTGTAGCAAACATCAGACCTGTAAACAGTCACATTTAAAAGAAAAGAGAAGTACCTTAACATATCCTGAGAACTACTTTTCTCATGCACCTTCTGTTGGACAAGAGGCCTTATTTTATACCCCATTTGAAATTACATTTACTCTCCATTTCCATGCTAAGCTCCCAAACAGCACAGTGTGAATCCCTGTTAGAGCCTCTGTCACTGCCATTCCTCATCAGTGCCAGGTGTTGATAATGAGTAAGTTTCAGCAAACTCCTATAGTTTTACCTGCATCCAAACCATTTCCCAAATCATTGAGAATTGTTGGGATCAACTCCTCGCTAGTGAAATGTGCAGCTTTGAACTTGCACTGTGGATATTTTCACCCATGAAATCTGCAGCCACCAAAAACCAATTCTGGGCTCACTCTCTGCACTGGAAGGACCAAGCATCAGAGCACTCACCTGTTTCCTGGGCAGAGAGGCACACCTGGGGTGTCCTGAAGAGGTGCAGGAGCAGCCGGCAGGTCATCCTGGCCCCAGGCTCAGCATCCGGATCCCCACAGGCTGAGGAAGGGGGGACAGGGACATGAGGATCTGCCCAGGACCTCCCCAGTACCAGACCTGGGAATGCTCTTCCTCAGAGCCCCATTTTAGAGGGAAATACAATGATTTCATCAACAGGAGTAAGCATTTATGGCCTTGAATCATTTCAAATCAGTAAAGAATGGCAGGAATTTTGGTAAGCAAGAGACATAATTAATGGCAGAGAAGAATATATGGTTGTAATGGCTTTTGACAGTTAAAGCAGCAAGAGGAAACACAAATCCAAGCAGAAAGTGAAAAGAAATGTCCGAAGTGGCCAGCAAAGAGGGCCCCAGGTACAGCACAGGTGTGGCAGGACCTGGAGCATGCAGTGTGGAGCAGCAGGGAGCTGTGAGAGCAGGTAAAGCTGCACACACTGGGAACAGGGGGGGCAGTGCCCTGCCAGCAGCTCTGACCTCACCCTCCAGTCTCTGCCCTACCCTGGGATCTGCAGGACACGGCACTGACACTGCAGGCACAGCACGCTGCTTGTCCCGTCCGTGGAGACTGCCTAGGAAGCCTCAAGGTTTCCACTTTAAACTTTTCCCGTGGTGTTTTCTCACCAGCTGCCAGGAGGGAGGGCAGTGCGACGTGCTGGACAACATCCTCCAGGGAGAAGCACTGCCGGGCGATCAGGATGGCGATGAACGTGGCCAGGGAGTCATGGAACGACAGGTCACTCACCTGAGAGGAGAAACAGTGCAAGGCCTCACACAAGAGTGCACACCCCCCTGCCACGGGCACTGAGCGATTCATTCACACAACAACATGGAAACACATAAGCACTTCGAATGCAGTTCCCAAAGATCATGGCAAATATGGCTTTTCACTGAATTTTAAAGAACACCATTTCAAATAGCAAAGTGTCAAAATTCTGAAATAAAAAACATTAGTCTTACAAAAATTAGAGAAAATTTTAGCACTCAATAAAACTAGGCAACATCAAGACTCCTTCCTCGGCTTCAGGAGAGGAATGTCCCTATGGACACAGCTTTAACATGCTCCCATAGAGAATGGAAAAAGATTACAAAGACAAAACTATAAACACTGCTCAAATTTACGTTAACCCTGAAGATGCAGGAAGGAATAAAAATCAGTCAGAAATTTCATGAAAAGCCTTGAAAAGTCAAACGGACACAAGGCTGAATCTGTGCTCTGCACTTCGTGTTGGACAGAAGCCTTAGCACCCCTCTAAGGAAAGCTGGGGTAAATAGGTGTCACAGGTACTCAGGTGATGCTGAACTCACATCCACGCTGCAGAGCAGATCGTTGAAGCCCCAGACGTGGTTTGAGGAGCAGCACAGAGCCTTCATGACGCCCAGCCACTCGGAGCTGAGCACGGGGCAGCACGCTGTCAGCTCGGCACACAGGTTCCCCATGTCATTGATCCTGGCAGGGACACAAACACTCACACAGACACCACACATTGTGCACCCAGCAAATATTTTGGGCAAAGCAGAGCGGTTCTTGGCAGAAGAACTGCTGTTTCCTTACTTAAGGTGGGGATTTATGTCCTGATGGGATTAGGCTACTGCACATACACCCTAGGGTGGACAGCCAGGAAGAACCCTCTGCTGCAGCAGTGCCAGGGACAGGAGTGTGTGGGGCACCTCTGCCCAGCCCCAGGTCACTGTGACAGGTCCAGCAGGAGCCCTCCCCCCGGCCAGGACAGCACCACCAGCAGGAGGGAAACAGGTCACAAAATCAACTGGCACTGATGAATTTTACTTCACAGATCCCTCACTGTGTAACATGGGATTTGGGGCATGATTCAGGGTTATGTAACAGCTTAAGAAACAGAGCAGAGTTGACTCATCCCGGTGCAAGTTATTTTCTCTCTGTTCCACAGTGAAACTTGTTTGGCCGCATTTAGATGTTCCCTTTTGTGCTCTTACAAAACTGCTTCCTCTCAGCTGCTCTGCCCTGCCAAGGATGGCCCCCACTCCAGAGAACCACAGACTGCTCTGGGTTGGAAGGGACCTTAAAAATCGAGTTCCACTCCCCTGCCGTGGGCAGAGACACCTTTTACTATCCCAGGTTGCTCCAAGCCCCATCCAACCTGGCCTGGAACACTGCAAGGGATTGGGCAGCCACAGCTCCTCTGGGCAGCCTGTGCCAGGGCCTGCCCACCCTCCCAGGGAACAAGTTCTTTCTCACATCCAAAATAAACCTACTCTCTGACAGTTTGAAGCCATTCTCCCAATAAAACTCTTAATACTTAAAAAACAGATCTTTCAAAAACCTATGTCCTGCCTATGAAGACAAAATCCATAATTTATGAATAAATGAAACACTTAATAAATGAAACATCAGTTGTACCAGAAGGAGGCAATGACCTAGTGTAGAACCTTCCCTTGTTTGCAGACTTCCAGTGAGCAGAGATTGTGCTGAGCTGTTCATTCTGGAACAGCTCAACTGCTGATACAAAACTCTCCTGGACTGTCTGACAGCAAGTGCACGCTGCTCTTTCCTCCTTCTGCTAAACTATGCAGATTGATTTAACCGAGTAACTCGGAGGAAGTTACTCAACACATTTTCAGCAACAGGAATGAAAATGAAAACAATTGCAAAAAAAAAAAAAAAAATGACACCAAACAAAAAGGTGAAAGGAAACCTCCTCCCCACTCTGTGAACTGGCTGTGGTCCCACCCCAGACGGGCCTCACCTGCCCGGGTCCTGGTGCCCCATGCAGACGTTCATCAGCGCGTTGCAGACGAAGCTGTAGCGGTTGGCCGCGTTGTCGCTCAGGATCTTGCCCAGCATCGAGTAGTTAATGCTGTGAGCAGAGGGATTCTCCAGGAAATCCAGCATGAACTCCGGGTCCCACAGCAAGTTGGAGTTTGAGGGCTGGATGTTGCTGTAGATCGTCTGCTTCACCTTGGAACAGGCACTACTGAGGACCAAAAGCAGAGAGAGCTGCCAAAGGCATCTCGCAGGAACGTGCTGGACACACCACGGGGGACGAGAAAACCCTGGCTGGATTACCACTCCAGACATTCTCACGCTCGTTTTGGATAAAGAGCATCCTCCAGATAACAAGGTTGAGAGATAAATTTCATTTAGGTTTCCCTGCAAATAAAGTCTTGAGTTTCCAAATCGCTTCTTGGACATTGTGAGCAGCTGGGTAAGGCCCAACATCCTCCTCCCCAGCAGCATCGTCCTGGGGCTCAGATGTCCCTGCAGGGAGTATAACCACACTTCCCAACATTGCTCTCCCAGTCCCATGTCATGACCCAGGGAGGTGCAGTGGGGCAGGGGAAATTCATCAAGGCAAAATGAGAACATTTACCCCAGTTAAAAACTACATTTGATAATATTGTGACATAGGAGACAGCATTTGGAAACCAGTAAATAGAGAAAAGATACTGAGAGGTCATATTTTGACATTAATAATTAGACAAAAGGGCAAGAACTGTCCCAGGCCATGAACCCCTCTATGTGAAGCAGTTTTCTTCAGGAAAAAAAACGTGTCAGTGAGGAATGCAAATTTTACACCCACAATGTTCTAAGGAGTGTTTGTTTCCAGGATGGGGTTTTATACCACTTGGACAAACTTCACCAATTAGCCCAACTTGGAAGATTTTCTCATTACTGAAATGAATCTATCAATTTAAATTAACTTAAAATATGTGAAAATTTTGGAGTTTCTTTAGGACTCCACCGGCCCCAGGACGAAAAGAGAGAGGAAACACTGGGTGCCAGCCAGCCAGCACAGCAGCACAGACAGAAATCCAGTGAGTGGAACACAAACAGCTCTCCCCAAAACCAGCAGGCACTGGGTGGGCACAGGGCTGTCCCTGACACCCCGACATCCACCGACAGCCACCCCATGGTCACAGAAAGGGACCCGAACCCGAACTGCACTGAGCACCGCAGCAAAGCAGCCTCTGAGACAGCACTTGCACCACAAGCAGTGCTGGGGGAGTGGTCAGGAGATACGATAAAAAAAAAAACCAAAGAAAACCCAAACCACCACAGTGAAAGAATGGGGTTTTTTTAAAAAAAACGGAAGTTTAGGGAAGATTAGTAACTGTTCCAGGCACATGAAACAAAACACGCTGCTCCCTCAGGGACACCCACTCAGGAGACACTGCAGAGCAGACCAGAGCACAGCAATGCACAGGGGGTGAGTCTCTAACTGTGAACCTTCACAAATTCTATTTTATCATTGCTTCAAATTGACTGAGCCAACTGAGCTTACAGCAGGCAAAAAAGGAGCTTGAAATGTTACTGTGAACATCCAACTGGGTTTGGGTGTTTCAAATGTAGCAAGGAAACCAATAATCAAATTAATATAATGCTATTACCTTACACACAGCTGTTCAAAGACGTATACATAAATTCTATTAACAGTTTTCAGGAATTTCTAAATCCATTTGTCAAAAAAAAAAGGTGCTTCAAAACAAGTGCTGTGTTTCACATACTTAATATATGATTCAATACCTTGTATATCTACATATTGCTAGATGCTATTTTGATTTGCTATTGTAAGTTGGCATTAATAGAAGTGATAATTTTCATTGTGTTACTAAAACTTTAGGTTTTTAAGCAGGAAAATGAACATAGAGCTAAGATATTTCTGTAGTTCTTCTAGATTTCTTCTTTCTCGTTATGTTTCTCATATTAAATGCTACTGTTCCCATGTATCTGTAAAGCTATTAAAATATTAAGATTATTACTGAGAACACCTTTCCTGCTTCCTATGAAATGAAACCACAAATCTGAACTATGCAAAGCCAAACCACACACACAAACCAGGAGCAGAAACAGCAGCTGAGGTGGTTTGTGAGCCTCACAAGATGTGGATTTACATCTGAAACGTTTCCACTCCCCCTTTACAAAGTAAAAGCAAAAAATACAGTGTATGGAAACCTAATGTTTTTTAAATTTAAAAATCAAGGAACTGAACATTCAAGCGTGAAACTTCACAAACTCAAACATGTTTGTGCCTTTCCTTGGGACTTTTACTGCACATCCCTGGCTCCACAAGCTGCGCTGGCACGGACAGGGGACCTGAATTAGTGAAGCAAAAGCTGCAAAGGCAGTGGAGATTTCCAGAGAATGGAAAGTGGATGGAAACCACAGAAGCCCACATCAGTCTGTGGGCAGGGGTGAGATGAATCCCTTCACCACCCACCTGAACAGGTCTCCAAACTTGCTCCTCAGGTGGCTGCAGGACACGTACAGGTCGTACAGGTAAGCTAAAATGCACCGTTCT